CTCAATAACTAACCAGTTATGCTTGTAAAGTTAAATGGCATATTCAGAAACTCAGCTGGCCTGCCGCCAGCACGTTAGTAAGGTTAAGCTGAATCCTGACGATGCCCACCATGCTGTTTCACTGTTCAACCTCAACAACTACTACCAAAAATGGACTAGGTCATTCAGTGGACATTTGGGTACCTGAAATAATAGAGCCATGAATTCACAAACTGCAGTGCACAATTCAATGATGTTTATTATTTTCACAAAGTTGTACAACCATTAGCAAAACCAAAGTATAGAACATTGCCATCACCCTAAGAAGAAACCCCATACCCATTAGTAGTCATTTCCCATCCTACCTCTCAAAACTACAAGCAGTAGGCAGCCATTAATTTATTTTCCATGTCCATAAATTTGCCTATTATTGGCATTTCTTATAAATAGAATTATATAGTGTATGGGCATTTGTAACTATCAACTTTCACTTAGCATATCGCTTTCAAAATCCATCCATGGTTTAGCTTTATTGTTGAATAAAATTTCATTGAATCAACATAAAACATTATATTTATCTGTTCAGTAGTTAATGGACACTTGGCTATTTCTACTTTTTGGGTATTATGAATAATGCTGCTATGAACATTTATGTACAAGTTTTCAAATGCACATATGATTTCATTTCTCTTGGACATATAAATAAAAGTGGAATTGCTGGGTCATACAATTAACTATGTTTAATCTTTTAAAGAACTGCCAGACTAATTTCTAAAAGAGCTGCTTTCAGAAGCTTAAATTTTGAAACTATAAAAAATTTACATATACATGTACATTGTACATTGACATGTACATTGTAATAAGACTGATATGGATTATAATCCTTAAAAGTAATAACTATTAATTAATTCATTCATTAATTAATTATTTTAAAGTCAGTCTGCCACATGCAGCACCTCATTTGGATGTGTCTGGAGTCTTGGAAGCTTGACTACCCTACGTTCTTCTACTAATGGACCTTGAAAGCTTGTTTGGAGGTTCTAGCAGGGGAGCACAGCTACTCGTATATCCTTGACCGTAGAACGATCTTTTCCTCTATAGGGGAAGGTCGTCCTCTTCCACCGATCGTGCAGCTTCAGGACAGATGCAAAGGAAGCGGTGAGGAAGGAAGGGGACACCTGCCTAGACAGCCAGATCACCCGAATCACCCTGGCAATCAATGAGGTGACAGATGTCGCAACCAGAGCGCCCTCACATTCAGTAATAACTTTTTAAAGGGGACATATTAAACTTATAAGTGGAAAAGATTAAAGTTTTAATATCTATTGGGCCCAGGGCCTCTTTTATTCCAAATATTTTGGTTAGAAATAACTAAGATCCCTAGAATTTTATGTAAATATTAACATTCTTAAATGAAATAAAATGTTTTCCACTGTTTCTCTCTGGATAGTTGGCTAACTATATATTTTAGCAAAACAAATGAAATCTCATTACACCAGAGCAATACTTCCCACATTGTTTATTACACACCTTTTCTTTTAATTTTATACCAATATAGTTTAATCTTTCCTTGTAACTTAATTTTTAAAAAAATCAAGTGTTTTTTTTCAAGGTGGTATAAACTAATATAAGATTTCTATCTTTTTACATGTTTTTATTAAATTCATAAATATTTACATTAGTATAACAAATAATAAAAAGTGACTAAAAGTGTCATTTAAAATTGATAACATATTACGAATTGAAAATAAAAATTGAATATTGCCTATATTTAGTATCTATAACAATCTTCTCTTCATTTGTCTATTAATCTTATATTTAGCATCTAGAACAGTCTAGACAGGGTATGGGAAGATTCTACTCTGGGTTATCTTTACAAGCACCAACA